TTTTTTTCTAGGACTCTAAAAAAGCTTTGTCTAATCTTGCATACAAAAAACAGTCAAGAAGCACTTTTGCCAAGTCTACCGCTTTGTGGAACAAAGAAGGTCGCTCAACTAAGTCAGTTGATTTAGTTAAACAAAATCTTGGTGTTTATTTAATTACGCCCAACGAGACACATTGGAATTCACTGTATGATGCAGTGGTGCTGCTTAGTAAATAAATTAAAAATAATGAACCTAAGTTTAGAATAATAATGGACTAACTGGCTATTGGCAGGTAAATTGTAAATCCTAAAATATTATTAGTTATTTTATCTAATTTTTTTATGAATATTTCCAGATTTGATAGAAGTGATATTGATTTCATGTGTTAATATCAAACAATTATGAGGGCAATTTCAATAAGCTTGGATTTACTCCAGGGTGATACTAACATGTACTTTGGTAATCTCCTACCTACAATTTAAGAATTAAATTATAAATATGAATTAATGACAAGTGATCAAACAATTTCTAATTATATGAAACTTCTGGTGACTACCATACTGCCATTATGTAATAATTAACATTTTTTAAATACATTAATCTTATTTAGCCAAGTACTTAAATTGTACAATTTTTAATTTCTTTTCATTTGAGTTGTTTTTGGTTTACTTTATTGGTAAATACTATTTACTAAGTAGTAAATATATAGTATCTCTTAGTTCTTACAGTCTTATTGGTGTATAATGTAAAAATTTAATCAGCTTATCTATTATTTATATTTATATTTCTGTGTGGTACCTACATTTATATACTCATGAGCTAAAATAAACAAACTTAATTGATAATAATTTTTGTTTTTTAGGCATAAAAACAAGGTTTGCCGATTATTTGATAGACAAGTTTTTAAGTACTGCTGAAGTCTGCCACCCACTATTTAAAAAAGCATAAATTACAAATGATATAAAAAAATAATTGGCCCCAGAGTATAAAGTGCCTGTTATGACTTACATACCAGTGATAATGACAATAATGTTGTAGAAGATAACCAAATGAAAGATAATTTACCTTCCTTTTTTACCTGGTCACAAAATTCCTGAAATTAAAAATCAACAGTTACTGATGAAATAGATAGATATTTGGGCTCTTCTCCAACAAAGACTTTAGATTGTTTGCATAATTTACCCACTATCAAAAAAGTAAGATTAGTTAAAAACTTCTTATACTATTACTAGTAATATTACAAAAACATTTGTACTTAGTTTTCAGGTATTTGTACAACACTCCACTACCTAGCAGTGAATCAGTAGAGAGAGTGTTTAGTGTTGGTGGTGCAACAATTACAAAAAAAAAGAACAAATATGACGAATCAATATTTTGAACAAATAATGTTCTTAAAATGCAACACTCAAATGTTTAATTAATATAATATATTATGAATGATTCAGAATTAAATTAATTTTTTTGTTTTGTATTTGAAATTTATTTCAAATACTTCCCTATAGATAGTATTTGGGTGGTATTTTAAATACTTTATATTATAAGTATTTTCTTACAACACTGATCAGTATACACTATACATAAACCTAATCTTGTCACCATATAGTGTCTCTGCATCACATTATAGTGATAGTCATACATTTTTGTCTTGGAAACATCGAGCTCACAAAATCCTAAACAAAATATAATAAATGTGTTAGTAAATGTTAAACACATTAAAATGTCAAGTATATTTACCAATATAGCTTTATCAAATTGAATAATCTTGTTCACTAGATTGACTGTGTTAGGTTATCACTGTAATTGGTACAGCATTTAAAATTGGACCTATAAATTAACTTCTGGTATAGCCCAATGTAGGTAAACAAGGAAGAAAATAATAATAAAAAAAAAAGAACACAATATACTATGTAATATTATGTAGGGTTTTTTATTTGTTAAAAATCTATGAATTTCTTTTTGAAGTCTATAAAATTAATATAGTATTTTGTGGTTTTCAGTTCAAAAGGGTCTTTTGTTCATTTTTATACCAATTTTTTAAAGCCGTGCAAGCACGAACAATATTATTGCGGATTTAGTTTTAGGAGACAAATTCCGGTTAGCATATATGATAATATTTGTATGAAGAAAAGTGTTAAGCTGAAGATTTTGATTAAATATCCCTAAAATATAATGTAGGTATCAGCTGTATAAAATGAATACTGTTTTGTGATGGTGTTTAAGTTAATATATTAGATGGTGCTGATCCAATACAGCTAAATAAAAAAATCCAAGCACTGCAGGTACTTTTAAATTTAACAATGGCTAAAAATTAAAATGTAGAAATATTTTATTTATTGTTTATTTACATGTTTAGCTAAATAAAGGTAACACAACAGATCAAAAGGTATAAGACAGGTAGTAAACTTTTTATAAAAATAAAAATAAAAAAAAACATTGATAATTTCTACTTATTAACATACATTTACATTAGAGTCAATTACTGTTTTTGATAAAATATATTCTACCAACAAAGTTTTGGTTTTATTTTCAAATAAGCCAAGTATTCAAATGTCATCTGTTAATTTTTTGGAAATATTTGTTTTCAAGTTAGATAAAGGTATTAAATCTTGTTGATAACAATTAATTAACTTAAGATATTTTTGACAGTTGATGTACTAAAACTTACTATTTTATAAAACTAAATAAAAATTATACAATCATCCCACAAATATATAAATAAATATTACAAATAAAACATTTTTAAAAAACAAACAAACAAATTTTGTATTTTTGTGAACTTAATATTTTTGTAATTATTTGCAATTTTTCTCATTATTCATAGATATAAACAATAAAATAAAATATGAAATTTTTAAATTATTATTTAAGAAATCAATTACCATTTTCAATTTGCTAAAATATTTTTTTTTAAATAAAATTTCCCTGGGTGATTGATTTAACTGACTTAAAAATTAAATTATATCATTTCAGCAAGTTGTCCATATTATTCTATTGATAAATATCTGATCTTTAATTACTGTACATAGTTTGTTGGCTTATATTATAACTTTTTACTTAACTCTATATAGGACGTAGATGATTTTTATTAATTGTGATCTTGATATGTCAACAAAATAATTTTTTTTACATTATTTAAATAGACAGTTTATCTATTAAAACGAAAAAATGGAAATAGTGACTTCTTGGATAATGGATATTTCCAATCTTATAAATAATTATTTTGTATTCAAACCTAGTGTACTAACTTAAGACTTATACTAATGTATGAACTAGAATTAAGTGATTTGATTTAATTTTGTATAATTATGATAAGAAACAACTCATCAAAAATTTGATTAATGATTCCACAAATTTAAATTTTTGGGGGTCACAAACAAATGAACAAGTTGACTTATGATTCTTATGATCAAATGATTCACTGAATCAGTTCATCAAAGTAAACATGTCCTACTTGGTTACTCAACTATGTATTCTTCAGTTCATTCATCTGAAGTTGTATTTTGTTAATTTAATCTAGAGTTAAATGTTTTTTTTTTGCTTGTATTGAATGACAAACATTATCTAAAAAATATATCCAATTATATTTTAAATTTCAGCTATACAAATTTTTTTTTAATACATGTTAACGATTTACAAAACACACTTTACTGATTGATTTACAAAACACTCTTTATTGCTCTAATTTACAAAATAAGTAAAATAATATAATTAGAAATACAAATTCAAAAATAGTACGGTGCGCAACGACCGTCCGAGAAGTGCGTTGCGGTAGACTGCTCTACTCTCCACCAGTTGAGAGCATTCTACTCTCCTACATCCCCTCTTAAGCATACTATATAATATTAATCGTTATCATACACATATAAAATCACAGTTTTTTAATAATTTATCCATTAGGTATTTATGTGTCTATATCGTGTAACTAATGTACCTACTCCCTTATACATAAAATATATACAGATTTTAACAAGTAAATGCAATTTTCAACTTTTATATAACTTACAAGTTTGAAAAAATGTACAACTGATAAATAAATTATCAATTATGTATGTTTTGGAAACTTCCTTTAAAACAAAAAATATTACAAATAATTGTTGTTGAACGTATAATTTAAAGCATTAAACCGTATTCAGCATTAATTGTTACATCTTAATGTTATTGGAAATGTATATCACTTGGATCATGTGTTACTATATAGTATATCAGCATGGTACGATGTGACATGTAACTTATTATTTACGTAATTTGACAACTTTTTTGGCATTAAATAATTCAAATCGGTCTAGTAAATTCATGTGTGCCTAACTAACAAACCTAAAATGTTCATGATAATTTTTTTTTAAATACTATCTATTTTAAGAATTATCCACAGCGACCTCTGCAAAGTATAAACTATACTTGTAGTACCTACTTAAATTGTAAGGTAAGTTTTTAAAATATAAAACAATAAATATAGGTAGGTACGAGGGTAGCATTTTATTTCCCCCATCACTTACCTTTATGTGAGAGCCTTAGGTACCTACACGGCTGTATACATATTATATTATTTATTTCTTACATTGTAGTGTAGTAGTTTAATATAACCACACAATTTTGTATCAAATACATCGGTGACTGCACACTATTATAGAATAATATTGTTTAATAACATATTAATGCCGAGCCTAGAGAGAATACTATAGGCACGATTAAAGTATCCATTTTTTTTATTACTTCCGTAAATTCCCAAGCCTAATATTGAATTTTTTTCAAGCCCCGACACTTCTAGAGTTTTATGTTAAGTTATAGTTAAACCGTCAAGACTAAAAAGTAAAAACAATATTGTTAGATGCGGGACGTAAAAATTGACTCGCCACAGTAGTGAATCTAAAAATCTAAATGGCCTATACTCAGAGTGACGTGTTTTGCATTGAATAGATTTAAACACAATATTCTGTTTCGGAATTTGAAATAAAAAATGTATCGTGTAATCCAAAGAAGTCAAAAACTCGAAAACTGATGACAACATATTACATTATTATAATACCTATCATCTATGGCAAAAGCCGATCGTCGTCACTCACCGGAGGCGATTCACAATTCTAACAATTTCATTGAACAAAAGAGAAATATGTATAGCAACAATAAACATTTACTCATGACAAATTAAATTTGTCATGCATTTACTCACATATTTCATTCTACTCAAGTAATTTTTATAAAAAATCTCGATTTTTCTTCAATTCGGATTTAGATGAAGAAAGAAGATCCTCGATATGGCGTCTGCACTCAAAATATGGCGCCTTGCAGCTATATATTACCCGCAAAGTCGATGTATACGTAAGTTTGATTACTTATTCTTTTGGGGCTTAAATATTTTACTTTTAGTCTTAAAATTAAAATTTTATTTGCTACCCGGGTGAAGTAGCGACATATTTTTTGTTCCCGATCGCGCAAAACAAAAAAATACGGTATCACAAACGACGACGGCATATCCAGGTCGCAGAATAATAACATATTTATAAAATTAAATAGATATAAAATAGTGTTGTACATACTAGTCATATTACAGTAGTACAGTACACGAGAGTTTTTATGTCCCGCAAAATTCAACAATTTTTATTTTTAGTTTATGTAAATGTTAAATTGTAAAGTAATATATGAATATTACTATGTCGTCTGCTTGTGGTCGAACCGTGAATTAAAGTGACGCCGTCGTACATCAAACATCAAATTATTTTATAAAGCTGGGAAAGTCGCTCTGCTGATTATTGAATATCCATCGAAAATTAAATAAGGAAATTTTAAATTTTAAATATTCTCAAATAGCTTATACATACCTAACCAATGCACTCAAAATAGTAATTATTAATTTCATGCCCGACAGTATTCGGAGAAAAGACTATTGGAATTTTACAAAATTTAATTGGAATGGTCGGTTTACGATAAATGTGATGCATTAGGCACTGAATATTTTTATGTTAAATCTAAAAAGTAGTAATCACATTTATTTATTATAAGATTTTTGTTTAATAACTCAAAAAAATATGCTTGTGCTTCGAATATTTAAACACCACCTTTATTAATTATTAAATTAAAAATTAAAATAATATTTACTTTATATATTGTCGTAATTTAAATTTTAAAATTATAAATTATTTTGGTTAATGTTATACCCATTCATTTCATTATCTTAATGATCTAATCTCAAACACGGACCTCTTTGATATAAATATTTGTAATATAATATCTATCTATGGTTTTATCATATTGACGTAGTATAAATTATAATGCAATCCGTGGCGATTGTCGAAGTAGTTGCAAAGACGCAATCGATCTAAAATTTCAGTTAGCAAAGCTGCAAACATGAACAAGAAACATGAAGAGATCCGTACGGTTTTTTTTTCATAATAAATCTCAATATTTTAAGA